TATTATTAAGATATAAATTATGAAAAATTTACTAAATTAACAAGGTCAACAAAGTACAGGAATAAACACTCTACTATACTGATATTGTTAAAATAGGAAACTTACTAAGCACATAGTGCTATTGGCATAATTATACAAAACCGTAGGATCAAAGCAAAAAAATCCACTTCCCATGTTAGCCTCATTAGCAAAATAGTTTGGCTGTCATTTTGCTTTTTCGGACTAGGCTCATATGAGCCTAAATCTAGCCATCCTTAATTAACTATCAATTAATTAAGAGGCTACGATTTTGTTGCAATTAAAATTAATTGACAAACAACAAAAACAACAAACTATGTATGTTTAGACGTTATCAATTTTCTGGTCTAAAAACAAAACAATATATAGGAGTAAAAACTCTACCATACTAATACTGTTAGAGTCCATGACTAAAATAGAAGATCATAGACACAGAAAATATGTCTAAACATTAATATAGTAAAATCATTCGCAATATAAAATATTATGATGCAATTTCTAAAGACTCATAAGTCTTAAAAAAGAATCTATTTCACTAGTAAATAATGTGCATCATAATTTATTTAAACCATTAGGTCTAAAACAAGCATTTATATCATCAAATATAAATGCAGTATATTGTAGTAGTGATATGCGTTAAAAATGAGTGAGCTAAACCATAGGAATGAAAATACATTAATAATTGATAAGAATTATCATGTAATTCACAGAAACCGGAAAGGTCTATTTGCAAAAAAAGGCATAATCTTATCCTCTTCTCTTTGAAGCCACGGACGGTGCGAAACCGTTGCTCGTCCTCACGGCCAAACGAGCGCAACAACTGCCGCCGACCGTGAGTGCGGAGGCCCTACGGGCTGCCTATCACCGGTGCGAGTGTCACAAGGTTGATGCCATAGGGAGCAGTCGGCCACCGCCGGCGATCGCGGGTACCAGGCGGCGCTGGGCCGCCTGCCATGAGGTCAAGGCCGCGCGGGAGGCCATCTCCGGGCCGCTCTACTGTCGGGCCGGTCGCCTAGCCGCCTTCCTTCGAGCCGCGCAGGGTTGCCGGTCGCGGAGTCACTAGCCACGGGCGCTGTCGGCCAGACGTGGGCACCACCGCCGTGTTTGGTGCTGGATGCCGCCAGCAACTACCGCCGCCATGCTCGGTCAGACGCACGGGCCTAGCAGCGAGCCCATCGATCGACGCGCTGACACCATAACCGGTCTGGTCCGCAAAGGCGAGCCACCGTCGGTCGGGCGCCCGAGCACCGCTGCCGGCCTCAGTCTAGGTGCATTGCCGCCATTTCTGGCCTTGCGCACAGGCGCACGGGAGCCACTGCCCCCGCTGGCTAGGCGCACGCGGTCACCGCAACCACCGGCAGCCGCCGTCGACGGGGCGCTAGGTACAGGAGCGTCGCCACTAGCCAGGCGCACACGGCCAAGCAAGCACCGTGGCCAACAGCCTGGGGCTCGCAAACGCCGCCACAGCAGACCTCGTCGGCAAAAGAGTTGGAAGAAATAATCTTGGCTTTCTTAGAAAGGTAAGAACATCGTAGATTAATGAATAACCATGATTTTTACTGTACTCCTTCCTCGACGAAGACATCGTGGCATTTTATTCCAGTCTGATGCTGCGGTAGTTCGGTTCGTATCGCTGATGCAGTCCGCCGTCTTTGTTTCTTCATGCAGGATGCAGATGACGATGCTAGCCTACGGCAGCATTGCAGTATGTGCAGACGTTCGCTGTTGTCGTCGGTGAGAACAGATGCATTGCCTCAGCAGACTCCTATTCTTCTCGGTAGTTGCTCAGTGGAGAACGAAGTGTGTGATAACGTGTTGAAAGTAGAGAGCGAGAGATACAAATGAACAGTGTGTACATATATACAAAGCTCATGTGGACGATTACAAGTGTGAAAGAGAGAAGTGAAAAGACACCCCCTTGAATTAATCCCTAATTAATTATTAAATAATAATTCTTAGGGAGTATCTCCTTAGCATGTGACTGATGGAAAAGATAATCCATTAGGACCTCTTTGAGGCTCGGCCGGGGTGTCGGCCTCTGAGCGGCCGACAAGAGGCTCTGGTGAACAGTGGCAGGTGTCGGCCACTGGGAGGCCGACAGGCCGCCCGTCAGAACCCTGCCAAAGAGGTCCTACCGGAGCCGGAGTCACCTTCACAGCCGTCGCGCCGCGGCCGCCCGTCTCTCGGCAGCGTATCGCTGCCCAGCATGCATCCCGGCGCTCTGCCTCTGCCCAGCATGCAGCATTGCTGCCCAGTCTCTGTCACAGTCGCAGACCACGCCCCCACTCCCGACCCGGTCTCTCTCACAAGCGCTGTCCAGCATGCAGTCTCTCAGGCAGGTGACTGATGGATTTACAAATTATCAGGCAACTGCGTTAAAGGATTTCTCTAATTCTTATCAGTTTAAGAAGAACGAGTAGTTACCCACGAATGTATTTTCCTCTTCTGCCCACGAAATTTACTATGGTAATTATGTAAATAGTCACCAGTGACTCACAATTACATCGCTGGTGGCCTGCTCATATGGTAATTGTGAGTCATACCCACAAATTTTTCCTTTATAAATGAACACAGCCTGGACGTTCTGTTCATTTAGTTTATAAGTCATACTTTTTCAGTCGACGAACATTATTTTTCGCTCACAACGAATCAGTCCACCGTAGTTTTTATCATTCCAGCGACGGAGCCATTCTCTGCTGTTCAAGTGCCCACCCCACCCGGCCTGCTTTAGCCAGCCTCCGTTCAGTTTCGCTCGCACGACGAGATGCCCGGACGCAGCCCGCCACCTCCGGAGAGTGCCTCCGGGAACTGGAGCGAAGGCGAGACGGCGAGACTTATCGACGCGTGGGGCCCCGTCCACCTGCGCCGCCGCCCGCGGGGCCTCCGCCTGGAGGACTGGCGCGCCGCGACCAGAGCCGTCAACGCCCACCGCGCCGCCGCGGGGCGCCGCTTCAACCGCACCCGCGTCCAGTGCCAGACCCGCGTCCGCACCCTCAAGCAGCGGTACAAGGAGGAGCGACCGTCGTCAAGCAGGAGGTGGAGGAAGCGGAGGAGGAGGAGGCATTGGCGGAGAGCTGGACTGTTTGTACGAGCGCGTGGAGCTGGCCAGGATCGCCGCCGAGAAGGTCAAGATGGAGATACAGCAGGCGCAGGAGACGGAGGTGCAGAAGGCCATGTTCGACGCCGTGAAGATGGAGCAGTAGAAGGTGAAAACTACGAAACCACGCTACCAAAGTTCCCCTCCCCTGCCACTGAAGATGAATCAGGGATGCATAGTGATTATGTGTACCGAAAATAGCTTAGAGTAGACCTTACTTTAGTGCTGTGTTTTTAGAACTTGTGCTAGCTTGAGTGCTTGACTTTAATGTAGTCGACAACAACATACGTAGGAGTAATACTTACCAGGAGTGTCCTTCTCGTTGCCAAGTAAAATTATGAATGACTGGATGAACTAAAATTGGGAGAGATGGAGAGAGAGGATAAGAGTGGAGAGGCGTTACCGATCATTGGCAGGCTTGGCGGAGGAGTTGGCCATGGTGTCGATGTAGGGCAGCAATGGAGTCCGGCGGCGGTGTCGAAGGCGCAGCAGAGACGTGGTCCAGTAGCGACGGCAAAAGCGGTGACGCTTCCCGTAGCTCACAGTGCCCCCTCTAGATCGGCTTAGGGTTTATAGGTGGGGATTGTGGCAGCAGCAGTCAACCCCGTACCTAGTGCCCCGGCCCCCACCTCCTTTTTACGGCGCTGCGCGACGGGAGCCCACCAACCATTGATTTGGTTGGACGCCCCCCGATCAGGATGCGAGAACAAAGCTCGACTCAGTCGTTGAATCGAGTCGGAGGAGATCAACCTGACAGGAGTAATACTTACCAGGAGTGTCCTTCTCGTTGCTAAGTAAAATTATGAATGACAGGATGAAAATTAAATGATCGGGTCGTTTGTTGTATCAGTACATTTTTAGCTTCATTTTTTTTCCTACTACTAGCACTGCATTCACTTGCTGTTGCTAGGCACTACACGTTGATGTCCAATCATTTTAGAAGATTACTACTCCTAGTACTTGTTTCCAGTTGCCTTTGGGCATAGAACAGTTCTTCTTGGAGGAGGGTTGGTTTCCTAGGTGACTGATCCGGCCATAATATACTCCCGTGATTTTCTACTGCACTGGCAGCAGAAATCGAACATACATACGACCACCGCAATGCGTGAAGGCACGGAGGAAAGGAAGAGCGTTACGCCTTCAGCGATTCAGCCGTAGTCCTCAGCTTGTCTTCCATTTTCCATGACGCGTGCAACGCGGCGTTTTGCAGCCGAAGCACCGCGCCTTGGGCTACCTAACTCAACAGCAGTTCGACCTTGCCGCACCGTCGACTCCCGCAGACGCGCGCGGCGCGCCGGCCGCCACCCCGCTCCGCCGGACCGGCCGGCCGCCCGATGCGCACTTGCGCCAGAAGTTGCCGCGGCGAAACAAGCCCGTGGCTCCCACCCCATGACTCACGGCCTGTTCATCTGCTCGTATCTGACTTATGAGCTATGGTTTATCAACCAACGAATAATATTTTTCTCTCACACTAAACCAGCCAATAATAACTATAACTTATAAGTCAAACCAGCCCAAACGAACGTCAGTTACCCACGGGACAAAGCGTTTCAGTGGCCGCACAGCACCAAGCCAACCAAGCCCTCAAGGCACCAACGGAAGCCAACCCAGCCCGATCCAGCAAAAACCTCAGCGTGAACGTGAGCGTGACCGCACCCGAGCCCACTCACCCTGCACCGTGCCGTGCCGAGCCGTGGATGCACGCATCATCCACCCACGCGTACGACGGAACCTCGCAGTTGTTATGGGTGGACGCGACGCGACCGATCGAGCAGCAGCACAAACATCACACGCTCCTCACGACCGCACCCAACCGGACTCGCCTCGCCTCGCCTCCCTCTCGAACCAGCCTCTCTCTCCGCCCGCCCGTCGTCCGCCAGCGCGGATGTCGTCGTCGTTGCGCCGCCGCCCGCCCCCGCCGCCGCCGGCGTGGACGCCCGAGCCGTGGAGCGACGGGGAGACGTCCGCGCTGCTCGACGCGTGGGGCCCGCGCCACCTCCGCACGCGCGGCGGCGCGCTCCGCCCCGCCGACTGGCGGGCCTGCGCCGACGCCGTCACCTCCCACCGCGCCGCGGCCGGCCGGGCGCCGCGCACCGTCGACCAGTGCAAGAACCGCCTGGATTATCTCAAGAAGCGCCTCAGGGCCGAGGGCTCCAGGCCCAAGGGGGCCCCGCCGACGCCGCCGCCGGTCTCGGGGTGGCTCGACCGCCTCCGCGGGCTGCTGCACCTCGCCCCCTCCGCGCCTCCAGGGTTCGCGCACCGTCTCGGCGCCAAAACGACGAAGGTGAAGGTTAAGGAGGAGGAGGACGACGACGACGACGAGGAGGACGAGAAGGCGAGCGGCGGGGATCCTCTGCCCCGCTGCTGGCCGCCGGTGCCCAAGCGGCCGAGGACGGCGGTGGCGCTGTCGCCGTTGAACGCCGCCTCCGGGGAGCACCCTGAAGGCGGCGGGAGGAGCTGCACGGAAGTGGCGGCGGCTCTGGATAGGCTTGCCGGGACGTACGAGCGGGTGGAGGCGGCGAAGCAGAAGGAGGCGGCGCGGCTGGAGGAGCGGCGCCTGGAGGCGATGCGTGATCTCGAGATCGAGCGTATGCGGCTCCTCGTCGACGTCGCCGTCACCACCTCCGTCGGTGTCGATGGCGCCGCCGCCACAACCGCCGACGGCGACTTCTAGTTGGTGAGTTATGGTTTTTGTTCTGGTTATTAAACGCGTGCTTGTGCTAGCGGAGCAGGTCACGTATAAATGATTATTGCGGAATTCATGTTCGATAATCGTTGGTTCATGTTGGAATTGTGAGGCAGCGCGGCTAGAAATTTCCACTTCACTATGACAACACCAACTAACACATGATCATTCAATTTTGTAGACATTCTTAATTTCCACAATGGACATCGAATTGGTTACTCAGATCGTTTGGTATGTAGTACAGGATATTAAACATGCAATGCTGGTGTTTCTGATCAAACTAGTCATTATGAAAGCAATGTCATGTCGCACCTCTTGCCAATAGATTACAGGATTCATACTTCCATAAGCGTTTGTTGTTGTTCAGAAATGGAGTGATAATAATCTGTTTATTTGTGTGAATGCATGAGAAGTTAATCATGTCTGACCGTTCAATCTTTCAGAAGATACAACTCCCTGACACTTTCGTTGTCTTTGTTCTCTTTTGCAGAGGGACTTGGATAACAGGCTGGCCAAGGTAGCCAATTCCAGCCTATATTTTTCTCAAAGTGACGATCGCATCATGGAGATACAAGTCACTTGATGTGATGTTCTTCTGAAAAGTTAAATCGGTTTAGGTTACAGGAAAAGCTTAGCCAGATATAGGATAGCACATGGTGGGATTTTTTAAGTTCACTGATTGCGGGTCTGCAGCAACTGAAAAGGGGAGAGGCTTAATAGCCTGAAAAGTGTCTTTGTTAATGTTAGCTATTCAGGCTTCACTTTGGTAACTACAGCTGTAATCCCTCTTGGTTTACAGCTGTTCGGCTGCTCGGTTTCGAGACGTTCTGATTATCCATTACATATGATATCTTGGATACTTCGTCTGATGCTATAGTTCTTATGATTATGTTGCTCTGCCTGTGATCATCACTCTGCTAATGATTGGCAACGTGCTTCTGGCGCAGTGGTGCATGTTACGGAGTATGTACTTTTTCTCTTCTCTGCCATTATTATTCATTCATTCATTCATCATTCTAATGATTGGGAAAGGCTGACAGGCGATAACGGTTTCCCAGCAGAGCAGCAGAACAGCAGTGCAAGATCGATCACAAACAGATACTAGACGTTTCAGAATTTTCAGGGTGAGGGTGATTCAGAGTTCATAGCATATATTTTTTCCAATATAATTAAAATCCTGTTTTTCAATGTAACTGAGTGAGATCTTATAGATTCCATATAATCTTTTTACAATTCATTTGAGTTCCGATTAACCATTGTTTTACGGACCACTGAATTGCCCCTGCATTCAGTGGTCACAACACAACATGGAAGCTTTGAAGATTGAACAGTACCACACAAATGCCGATCGGGCGATCACGAAGTGTCGCACGAATGCAGACTCCTCGCGCAGCCATCGGCGTCGTCAACCACCACTTCCTCCTTGCTTGCCGTCCGTCCTTCGTCGCAACTCAGCGTCGCGGCCTACCGGGCAACAAATACAGAGGCTTCGCCGAGCTAACCCTGCGCTGCCCCTCGGGCGTGGTCACTCAACGCGCGCGCGACGTCTCGCGTCCTCCTAAATCCGAAATTTTGAACAGCTTGGCAGAGACGTACGTATTATATGTATATATTAATGTACATAATATATGGATATATAGAGATATGTAGAGATTTTCTTTTCTATATATCGAGATCAACGTATCAAAGTTTATCAGGAGAGGTTTAAAATCTTGAGAAAATCAAGAAAAATAAGAAAATCTTATCACTTGCACTATAGGTATTTATTATTATATAAATAAATACATATACATACCATGTATAATAAAATACATGAATAGAGAGTCGACACACCCAAAATTATTTATATATATCAGATACACTTCAAGAGGCTAAGTCTATAAGTATGTAAATACGATCACGTACGACTCACCAAACCAAGCTTGAAAGTTTCTTTTTTTTAAGAGGAGAACAAATATGTATCAATTGTTGAATCGGATACAGCAATGGGGCCAAAAAGGTCAAAGGGGCAATAAGAACTGTTGTAAGTCCGCATCAACGAACAAGCACAGACCACACGTCAAACATGGTGGCACGACGGCTGGGCATGCACACTCCACAAGCCACTGCTGACACAACATGGCAATTCGCGGCGCGCGGGGGCGGTAGCCCGTGACCGTGAGGCGTGAGGCGTGAGGCTGTGAACGTGCATGAAATAAAGCATGCCTACCCTACTTCCGCCGCGCGGTTCGCAAGAGTCGTTTTGGCCGGACACCGGCGGGGAGCGCCGCCACCCTCACCCCCCATGCTGGACGCCGCTGAGGTTGGGTTGTGGAACCTGAATTGCAATGCCACGCCTCGTGACCAAGTGAGCCTCACACGTATTCACTCCATTTTAAACTATAAGATGTTTTGACTTTTTCTAAATACGTAATTTTGCTATACACTTAGATATACACTATGTTTAGATATATAGCAAGAGCAACGTATCTAAAAAAAAGTCAAAATATCTTATAATTTATAAAGGTGGGAGTACAAAATAAATGTAACGCGTCCACGGGCGCTTCTACTTTGTGGATTTTTTTTTCCAAAATGGTCATGGAAGGCTAACTCATAGTGTGGCATTAGAGCAACTTCAAAAGACTCTTTATATCCTTCCTAATTGTTAGGAGTATATATTTTAATAAAAAATACCCTCCAACAACTTCTTTAAGTGGTTATCCAAATATTGTCACCCTTTATTTTGGATTTCTCACTAGCCAAAGATAGCGAAAATAGTTCTCTAGAGTGTGTACAAGATATAAAAAAGCTATTTGAAGATAAAATATATATAAAACGATTTTTATGAAGATGACTCTCCAAATAATGATTTAGAGAGTGGGTTTTATAATAATTCTTGGAGATGCTCTTAATATATGTATCTGCTTCGCTCGCATTGCATCACACATGCAACATGTGGGTGCCGTGTGCCAATGCCATGTTTGGATCTACCGATAATAGTTGCACCCTCCGTCCACAAAAGAAATAACTATGAAATTTATACAAATCAAACTGATATAACTTTAATCAAGTTTATAGTAAATTGTATTATCATTTATACCTGCAACTAATTTTATTATAAAAGTGTTTTTCATAATTAATTTAATAATATTTATTTTGTATTATACTTGCTTTGTTTTAACTTATAGACTATTTTTTTTTCTAAATACATAATTTTTATTATAGATATACACACATCGATCGACAGGAATACGAAAATTACTAAAGATAACCCTCCGTCCCTCCCGTGTACGGCTTACCCCTCGCACGACGACCGCGCCTTAGCTTCCACCAGCAGCCGGCAGAGCTCCACGGTCGGCGCGGACGCCGCCGCAAAACCGAACGCGTTGCATCTGTAGCCCGCGGGCACCGACCGGCGGCTCCGGTTCTTGACGGGGGCGTTCTCGAATATGTGGAGGCGGACGCCGTCGTCGGGGTCGAACCAGGGGCGGATCCACCAATAAGGTGAGCTCTGGCATCCGCCAGACCTACCCTCCGGTGAACCCCTTTGTCCCTGCGGACTGCCTGGGCGAGACACTGAGAGCTCTGCCATGGCCGATGTCTGTTTTGCAAGGAGGAAGATGAGTCGTCGCAGTCGTTGCGACGAGCTAACTGGCCTGACTGGGCCTATTGGGCCATATGTTAGTTTGCTGGAAACCCAGGCCCAGACGCAACGTGCAGGTTGGTTTGGAAGACCATTTGCGTTGCGTTTGTAACTGTCATTCAATTCCAGTATTCCACGGTTTCAGGCTTCCACTGTTCCGACTTCCACCAAGCGCCGATCCTGATCAATTGATCGCTCCACCGGCTAGCACGACTGCGAGTCTTCGTCACTTCGTGCAACTCAAAAACAAGCACAAGACATCTGCTGCTCATTTTTTCACACTGAGGAATCCCCATTACCATTTTAGCATAACGGAATGCTGCTCATGAACTAGACGCCCAGGCTGTTGGCTCAAGAATTAGAAACAACTGGAGAATGAAATTGCCACGTCCTCCACTGACACAGTCTTCATTCACCATTAGTATAATCATCCAATGTTTAATTTCATATTTTAGTTATCTTTGTTATGCCACATTAATATCTCTTATTATTTTCTATATGATTGTCAAGAGTGGAAAAAGAGGAGAATGATGTGAGGAGTGCATAGAAAGAGAATATGGTTTCGATTGGTAAATAATTAAATATAAAAAAAAAGACATGACTGGATTCAAACATAGGTTAGGGTTTCTAATACAAAAATATTTATTAACTTATTATTATTATTATTATTATTATTATTATTATTATTATTATTATTATTAAAAAAGATTAAATCCGTGCCACGCGGGCATTTATCTCTATAACTAAAATATTTATAACTATTCCGTCCACCCACGGGTGCGACACCAAAGCCGCTAAAACGTGGACGTTGGTTTCCTGCGACAATCCATGGTTCCGGCGGTCCGCCTTCCCCCCTGCGATCCCCTGCCGCTCGCCCTGCGACTGTGACTTCCCCCTACGATCCCTGCCGCTCGCCCCGCAATCACCGCAATCTCCGTCGGTCTGCCTTCCCCCTGCATTCCTCACGCGGTGGCTCAAATCGTGCATGCTCAAATCACGCATGCGATCCGTGGATGGGGAGGGAAGAGAGGCAGCCGCACCGTGAAGGCGTTCACCTCCATCCACGGTAGCAGGAGTTCCTCATTGCGGTGGTAGCGCACGAACGGCGATAGGCCCACCGTGCTGTAGCCGCCGGCGTCCATGTGGTTGAGTGAGAAGGAGGACGGCGTCGCTTCCACGTCCTCCTTGCCGCGCGAGCCCCATCCACATCCTCCCGCCAGCAGTAAGGAGGATGGCGCCGCCCGGATCCACCGGAACCCAGAAGTGACCGACGCAGCCCAGTTCTTCCCTCTCCCCAGCTGCTTCCCCTCCCAGGCGGCACCTGGATCTGCTCGCGATGGGCGCCATCCTCCGTCATCGCGCTCGACAGCAGCAGCAACATCTCTGCTCGTAGAGTCCGAAAGAGCCCGGCGCCGCATCTCTGCTTGCGATGAGGAAAATGTTCCCATCGTAGATGATGATGACGGTGCCTCCACTGACCACTGTCCGGCCCCGATGCACCTCCTCTGCGCTCCAACGAACTCGATCTACCTCGATACCTCGACTGGCAAGGTCAGCACCTCGTGATTCCTGATTTTTCTTTCATGATGTCATCCCTGATCCCCTTCACAGAGAGATGGAATACCGAAGGATGCCAGGGCAGGGACGTCCGATCTGGTGTGTGTGTGTGTGTGTGTGTTTCACCCTTGCCACTTTTGCTTGCTCACATGCTTGTCATGTTCTGTCGCGAAGGGTATAAGGGATTCAGGGCTTGTGAACTTCATACTCAGATTGTATTTGTGAAGTATGGTATAAAGGTTGACAGGGATAATGCCCACCATGTATTCACTGAAATGCCCTCAAGGTAATATATGGTACAAGTTTTAATTTCTCGTTGATTTTGTTTTGTGAATTTGAAATGAATTTCGATGTTTCTTTTTATTTGGTCCCAAATTAGAGTGGCAACTTTGAAAATGCTCTGAATGTTTTCTTCATGAGTAATTAATCTTGTACTATTGTCATTTAATTGAAAATGCAGTTCTGTTGTTTACAGAGCTCTAGTAGATAAACTTTGTTCTACTGTCCTTGATGAACATCCATGCTGCAGCACTCCTGCACAAGTGTTTTAACAAATCCATGAGATTTCAACTAATGCATGGTGCAGGGTAAGTGATTTTTTTAAAATGTTGTTTCTTGAATAATGGAAGATTTTATAGCTGTTATCTTTAACCCTTGAGTTAATCTAAACCTATTCTTGCATTATAACTTACAAGTTCAATATACTGCTCAAGCTGTAGTTTTAAAAAGGAAATCATTTGCTAATTGGGATCTACAGTTATTATGTAGGGTCCTAATCAGTAGTGCTCTTTTCTTTGTTGCGTTGTGTGCTTAAATAGTCTTTATCTGTTTCCTCATGCTGACAGAGCTCTAGGCAGACAGTTGCGCTTCTTGGATGTCAGGCTTACTAAAATTGAGGCTCATGCATTTGGTTGGAAGCAAGAGAGCAGCAAGTCCCAGTTAGCTCTGGCTAACCAATCATGGTCTCCAGATGGCTGGTACATGTCGTCTGGTTCGGCAGATCCACTGATTCATGTCTTCGAAACACTGCAGGTTTGTTTCCTGATCCATGAAACATTGTTATGTCTCATATAGTATGCTTATCAAAATATAATAAATGAAAAGCGATTAAAAAATAGATCTGAATTGCTATGCCTTGCAGCAGAACAAAACCGCCTTCATTCCTAGCATTAGTGCAAAAGTGCAGCAAATTCCATTATGCCACACAGCTTGTTCTATTCTCATTCTTTGTTTAAATTTGGTCCAACATGTTGAAACATTTCAAAGTGGAAAGTGACAACATGATAGAATTAATAGTTGGATTGTTGAGGACTATATCCTCCTTCCACTCTAGGGCTTACAAGAACCATGAATCTAATGCAGTGATAAACTGCTCCATGGACTCTACAACATAATGAATAAAAACAAGCTTATATTAGTGAGCTCAGGAATAGGACAAATACCTGATAGTTGCATCTAACAAACAACCACATAATTGTTTCTTTACAGATGAAATTTACAGATTTTTTTACTATAGATTGATCACTTTGTCAAGAACATCTTCTCTTAGTGGTGATCAGGCGAACCACATCCACTACTTTTGCTTCCGTTATCAAGGCTCTGTTTCAGGTATATATTTCATAGCTCATCTCATATGTGAATCTCAAAAGATATGATGTTTTTTTTATTGGTGAAACACTGCCTTTTCAATCCGAGGCTTCTTTGAACCTATATAAGCATTCAGTGGACCATGATTAAGTAGTGGCTGGTTTATTAATTGCTTAGCTTCATGAGCAATTTAGATGTTTTGAGACTGCAGATGGTACTAGTTCTTAAGCAAAACTGAAAACAGATGCTACTGCTATCTCTATTTTTTCTATAGTACAATTGAAAATAGATGCTACCGCTACACTTTCTTTGATCCCTAGCCAATATAGTTTTAAGTTACTAGGGTCAGAGCAACAGGTTACCATGTGCCTTTGTGCCATGAGAGTTAGTTGCTTGTTTTCTTAATCTGGATCAGTTCTCTCACAAAAATAATGCCTAGGAGTCTAATATTGACACCCAGCACGGAGGTGGTGGTGCCGCCGTGGCGCCCTTCGCCGGTGCACGCGTGCGGCCAGAGCCGCGCGCGGCGCCATCGAGTGGCACCGCGGTGGTGCCCTTTGCGCCTCGTGCGAAGCATCAGAGGCGCCGGCGAGCCCACGGCTCGGCCGTGCTTCCCGCGGCCGTTAAAAAAGGGAAAGGGAAAGGGAAAGCGAAAGGGAAAGGGAAGGGGAAGAAGAAAGCGACAAAGGATATATTCACAAAGAATATTGTATATAAAAAGGTTCTAACTCTATAAAAGAGGTAATGCATCACACGTTGATACATAGTTATTTAGATATCAAATGATACTTTAACTTTAAAAATTAACAAACAACTTATATACAGGATACTTCTAAGTACAGCTTCAGCCATCTGCATGCTTCAGCTGCAAGAAGTCAGACGCCGTATCTTGGACTAGAAAATCTTCTGGATCATCATTGATTGGTGACCAACTGTAGTTTGGTATTCGTGCAAAGCACATTCTCTTAGTCGAACTATTGAGAGATTAGATTCTTAATTATACAATAGATTCTAAAACATGTATTGTGAAACAGGAACTTGTTATGATTATTTTTTCGTAGCATTTGATTACTGAAGAAGCGCAAGCTTATCTTTCACGTATCGTAGGCATGAAGTGATGTGACAATTGAAGTTGATGTTTTAGTTTTGCATTCAAATTTAGACTTATGTAATATTGATTGGAACATTATGATTGCGGTATCTATTTTAGATAACAGTATAACACACGCTCATATATATGTTATCATGGTATTATGTGTTTCTATTGCAACGCACGGATATTTACGTAGTGTAGTAAAACATTAAAACCATCGATATATCTGGCGAATCCAAAATTAATACAGGGCGCGACCGCGCGAGTGCCATATGCTTGGCAGCTCGGGTGATTGGTACGCTGAGCCGCAGAGGGTGAGACGCATGATACATCAATGGACTGGCCTGTTACTAATTTGGTCCAGCCACTTTACTCAGGGATATTTTTGTAACACCCTAGTGTTACGATCTTATTTAGCACTGTGATTTAGGTCTAAAAAATTTTTCGGAGCGAGTTTCCTCGGATTTTTAATTTAAAATGTACGTGAGGCGATAAGTAAATCCTGGGTGACTTAATTTCGGGACTCAAATAAACATCCAGGTTAAATTTCTGTGCATAAAAATATTTAGGAATGTGGAACGATAATCCGGGGAAATAAATAGCGGACGGTTTGTCTTGTTAGATTAAGCATGAAAAGCAACTTGTATAAATAAAATAAAATTCATTAATAAATAGAACGATATACATATATAGTGTTTGAATCAAATTTAAA